TCCCACAGCCTAACTTCTAGTGAAATTTTGTGGTATTTTGATAACAATTTGTTAAATTCTCGAAAAAAAAGCTGGAAGATTCAAGACAAAAAATACAAAAGCACATACCTAAACTCCAATTTCTTCTAAGATTTCACGGTATTTTGGGGGCGATTTGTTAAATCTCACAAAAAAACAAAAATCAAGACTTAGCAGTAAAATATATAGCAGAAGAAATTGAAGGTTTAAAGATTGGGTATATAGGTAATCGTCTCAAGTGTGCGTGAAGTTGTTGAGTATTTTGGGAACAATCGAGAGAGGGAGATGAAATTAAGATTAAAGGTCGAGAGAAATCATTATTGTAACAACGTAGAGTAAGAGTGAAATTATGGTTAAATGCAAAAAAAATGTGTTTTAAATGAAAAGAATTAAGAAGAATTTTAAATCGAAAAAAATATTTATTCAAAAAATACAACAAAATAAAGAATATATATTATTTAGTTAAAATTGAAAAATTAAGTTTAATTATGAAGAGAAAAGAGTTTAAAGGAATTTTAAACTAAAAAAAAAAAATTTCTATAATGTAAAAAAAAAAAAGAAAAAAATTTATATATGCCTCCATGCAATTGTCTCCATGCATTTGACCTGCCCACAGATTTGACTAAAGCCAGAAGTAGAGAATAGGGCAATTCAGCTCTCCGACATGATAGACTCTTCCCCCGTCCGTGCACGGAGACTTAGATTTTTTTTTTTTTGCTGTCCATGCACGGAGCAATTGCCTCCGTGCACGGACACTTAGATTCATTTTTTTTGCCGTGTAGTTTTACGTTATAAATAATTTTTTTTAATTTAAAATTCTTTTTAATTCTTTTCTCTTCAAATTTTTTACTTACAAGTAACTTTTTGTAAAATATTTTCTGTCTTATATTATCTTTGTTTTTTTTTATATAAATTTTTTTCCTTATATCCCTATCACACACGCACGCACACACACACACGCACGCACACACACACACACACACACACACACACACACATATATATATATATATAAAAGAGTGGTTGAGCACGGAGTGGTGGGAAGAATGAAAATTGTGTGTTGCAGTATTTTCTTACTGTATAATAAAATATATATCAAGTAAGGTAAATGACGTCGTTTTGCTCCCCCACTTAAAAAAAAAAAAAATTTAAAAACTAAAGTGAGACAAAATGGATTAACTCACTGTTGCTTTCTACAGTGCCTCCACATTCACGTTTTTATATAGTAGGGAAAAATAACCATACAATAAAATTATGATCTTCGAAAATAACTGAAAATCTTCGAAATAAGAAAATATAAAAATCTTGGGAGTTTCGGAACAATCGTGGTTGGGATTCATGGTTTCGCTTAACCGTCGTCTAATTAATTTTTCCACAAGCTATTTAACAAATTACTCATTCATGATGTTAGACCCGATCTTCTAATTTTAGTTAATTACCTCTCTTGAGTGAAATCAACCATAATTGATTGGTTTAACATACTATATCTCTATGTCTTTTAAAATCAAACAATAGTATTAATTTTTTGTGAAAATAACTCATTGGATCACTTAGAGTTAGGGGTATATCTCTATCCCCTACACAAACCTACGATTTTTACTATTTGGTCTAAAATGTACAATCTTCTCTCAAACAATGTATAAATCACTAAATACAATCATTCATTGGTCACATAAATGAAAATGCAACGATAACAATAGTAAAAACACATGAGAATAAGCATTTTAAAATTAAAGGGCAAATATTAAAATTAAGGCTAGGTTAAGTTACTACCATAAATTCCAACATAATAAATTAGCCCATATTATATAAATGATAAAAAGGCAAATATTCCATACAATACATTGCAAATAAGAAATAATAATGAAACAAAATATACAAGAGTGAACATAAAACCTTTTTGAATTTTGATTTTTGATGGCTTGATCTTGATTTTTCCCAACTATTTTTCCTTAAAATGTATTCTCCTTGTGCTCTTAAATTTTGCTCCAAAAATTACCAAGAAATTAAAAAGGAAAAGAAAATAAAAGAAAAGAAAAAGAAAAAGAAAAGAATGAAGGAAAAAGCAAAGAGCTTGTTTGTCTCCCTTAATAGGAGAAATTAAAGAGTTTTGAATAGTATTTTTTAAAAAATATATGGTTAAAATTTAAAGAAATTTTATTGGTTTATGTATAGAATATTTTATTGGGTAATTGGCACAAAACGTCCATACCTTTCAAATCTATTGTGGAAAACGTCCCTACCTTTTATTTTTTGGCATTTTTGCCCTCATTTCAACCTTTCTTTGCGCTGGACGTCCTTCCGTCCATATTCCGTCAGTTTTTCCGTTAAACATTTGGGTAATTGGCACAAAACGTCCCTACCTTTCAAGTCTATTGTGGAAAACGTCCCTACCTTTTATTTTTTGGCATTTTTGCCCTCATTTCAACCTTTCTTTGCGCTGGACGTCCTTCCGTCCATATTCTGTCAGTTTTTCCGTTAATTAAATACAAAAATACCTTTTTCTTTCCATAAACAAGGGTAAAATTGTCCTCACCCACTTTACCCCTTTTTCCCGCCATCAACTTAGTCCATAAGTAATAGTAGCAGCAACATGAATCTGAAAATACTTTAAATGATTAAGTTAAATAAAGAAAAAATATCGTGAACACATTATATTTCACAATTCCACAACTACTGTTGCTGTCATCTTGTGTCACTGGAAAAATTTAGAAAGACATATTAAATGGGTAGTCAATTTATAATGGGAAAAGGGGCAAAGTGGGTGAGGACAATTTTACCCTTGTTTATGGAAAGAAAAAGGTATTTTTGTATTTAATTAACGGAAAAACTGACAGAATATGGACGGAAGGACGTCCAGCGCAAAGAAAGGTTGAAATGAGGGCAAAAATACCAAAAAATAAAAGGTAGGGACGTTTTCCACAATAGACTTGAAAGGTAGGGACGTTTTGTGCCAATTACCCTTTAATTAACGGAAAAACTGACGGAATGTGGACGGAAGGACATCCAGCGCAAAGAAAGGTTGAAATGAGGGCAAAAATGTCAAAAAATGAAAGGTAGGAACGTTTTTCACAATAGACTTGAAAGGTAAGGACGTTTTATGCCAATTACCCTATTTTATTTTGTAAATGTGTGGTGGTGAATATTACTGTAGTAAATAATTTAATTTGTTAAAAGATGACAAACATGGACAAAGGAGACTGGAAGATAATGGAGAATGAGAATAATTGGGTTCAAGTGAGTGAACTGGTCCTTTAAAACCGTAAAGAAAATGTTCTCAGAATTGCAAAACAATCCCCTGAATTTGGAAAAACATTAAAAAGAAGCTCCCAACCGGAAATAGGGCGCCCACATTTTTAGTAATTTGAATCTCAGGTCCTCCAATATTTGTACACTAGGTCCCTAAACGTTAATCTTATACAATTTGATCCTAAAATTTGACTTTCTTTCAATTATGCCCTCCATCAAATGCAACTCTAGGTCCTTGAACTCTTGGAAAACATTTGGGTCCTCAACTTCACAATTTTATACGCTTTTGGTCTCTTTTTCGCTTCCTTTTACCTTATTCTCTTACCTTTTGGGGTTTATGACTTACAAAAGCTAAAATTATTAAATTGTGAGTTGATGTCCGATCTTTTAATCAATAATTAGCTCGCTAAACTATCTAATTAGTGTGAAAGACACACACCTATCATTGGGTCAACAATCTTGGGTTGCATGAAAATGGGTGACCGTGGTTGTTATTTTCCTTGGGTGTTCCTCGTTATATTTGAACCTTTGGGTTTTCTTAATTTTGGGTCCATGAAAAATGAACAAATGGGTTTTTGTTGTGCTTTTTTACTTCGCATTTTGTAATGTGTGCTGTAATGAGGGTTGTCTACGTATCATATAATTTTCCAATGCAAGTGTACAAATTGTGGAAGAGAACCATTACTGGGAAAGGGTAATGATAAATCATTAAATTTGTCTAAAGAAGTATAAGTGTTATGGGTAGAAACATAGTGGTAACCTTGATTATTGGTTGGCAAGAGGATTGATCTTCTTCTCATGACTGTTATATTCTTCTTAACAGCGAGTTAGGTGAACTTTTAATCTACTTTATGCATTGGTGGTTGTCCGACTTCCATGAATTGTTAATCTAACTAATGTAACTTGCAGGTTTTGTTATTAATGGCTACATCTTTAAATTTACCAATGACCAGACAAACTCTTGATGTACTGTTCATATTTCGTCAGTGAAAGAGAAGTTAGTGAGCGATAATTCTTGTTACATTGATGCATTGATGAATGATTTGCTTGGATTTATTATTGATGTTTTGCATCGACAAAGACACGAATGAAGGTTTTATTCAGTTAGGATGCATTTTCCAACAAGATCTAAAATTATTTATCAATCTTATTTCCAGGGGCGAACCCACTGCTGGACCTGGTGGGTCAGGCAACCCACCAGGTGTTTTTTAAATTTTATTTTTTTTGATATGTAAAATGGCACCCAATTCCCAAGCAACTCCCAATTCTCAGCCAACTCTCAATTCCATTAATTAACAAACATTGAAAATTGAAAATGGGAAAAAAAGATGTAAACCCATTAGCTCATTACAACCAAACGGCAAAGTGCAAACACCAAAGTTTGAAAAGAAAATCGTTCATCCACCGACTTCCATTCTGCCTTGCGCCAATGGTTGCCAACAATTGAAATTTGAAAGGAAAATCGTGCCCCACTAATTCAAAATTTCTTCGTCCGCCACTGCTTATTTCAATGAATCCTTTTTTCTTTTTGGATTTGAATATGAACATTCGTTGTTAAGTATGGTAGTAAATCCTTTTGTTCAGTCTAAATCTGGACATCGGTATTCACGGTCCCTCGGTTGAGTGAATCATTTCGTTGGCCGTTTCCCCTATTAGTGTTGTTGTTGTCCTGTTTTTAGCACTATTGGTTCCATGCAGAGTAAGACAATATGAAGAAATCATAACATTATGCACAAGAAAGATGAATTTTAACAATATAAAGAAATCATAACTTCAAAACTACGAACAAGAAAGATGGATTTTAACATCGTCTAGCTAAATCGAAATGCCAAAACAATTTTTACACAACAATACGACACAAAAGATGTAATTGCCTAAATCCTCACGTGATCACCCGTTCGATTAATTTCTACTACTCACGTTGACCCCTTCCTTTTTACATTCCCTTCCGCGCTACCATTTACCTTGCTAATCATCACAGTCATTGAAATTCGTAGCTTTTCTTTATCATTGAGGAAAACTCGAGATTGGAACTTGCGTTTCATATCTTCAACTCTTTCGTTCGTCCCTAGGTTAACTGAGGAAGTGCTATTGCTAGAGGATTGATCTCTTGATAATTCTTCTTTCAAAACCCAGTCCCAAAATCTACAATTGTCACTGCAACAAAGAATTAATCATCCTGTGTTGACCGTCTCTTTCTCCACCATGAAATACTTCGCGAATCCATGCTTGCATAATGGGCATCGACGTTTTTGTGGGCATTAGCAAAGGAGTGGCCTTTAACTTTACAACTATGACAAATTTCATAATTTCTTCCACCCATTCTACGAGGTGAATAAACCACGGATCATAGTCAACTCAAATAAATGAGTAGAGGTAAAACATGCATAGATGATCCATTGGAATTTGAAACTCTAAAAAGAGTAATCACACATCATATAAGCCAATTACATTTCATTTCAAGAAATCAAGAAAGATAGAGCTCATTTAGTGGTGGAAGAGTATTTTTATTTTTTAAATTTGTTAGGCAAGTGGTGGAATACGAACATACAATTAAGCACAACATAGAGGACCTTTATCAACATGTCTGTGATATGAAAACAAATTAAAGTACATCCTGGGAATTTTCAATCAAATATAAGCCATCCAATAGATACAAAAACAATACCATTTGCTAAAATTGGAAAAGCGGGAAAATTAGAAGTTCTCCTTAGGTTCGAATCTGAAAATTGTTAGAACACTATTTTGTATCAATGAAGATAGCATAAAGCATAAAACATGAATCAAGAATATAGGACTAATTTTTTATTTGGCGGGTTCAAAACGAAGGCAAGAAACCAAAACATACAGGCACAAGTAAACAAACCCATACGATTAACCCTATAAATACAACAGCGGGGAATCCAAGATCCAAGTCCAGCTAGGGCAAGTTGACCGTTAGTCCGATATTACGATCAATTACAATTGATTTAAAAAAAAAAAATCAAGTACACACGGGTTGAATTGAGCGGTCAACATCTTCTTAATTAAATTTTTCACTTTGACTAATTTCCTAAACGTAAATTCTCAAATCAATAATCATAACTCACAAAACATAAATTACTTATCATAAATCACAATTCACAACATAATTTCGTAAACATAAATTCCCAAATCAATAATCATTCCTAATCAAAACATAAATTACTTATCATAAATTGCAAATGCAAATATAATTTCATAAACATAAATTCCCAAATCAATAATCATAACTCATAAAACGTAAATTACTTATCATAATTCATAAATCATAATTCGCAATTTTTTAATTCCCAAATGAAGAAATCACAACATATTTAACATCAACTGATCAACTTAAGTCACTGACCCGAGGAAGGAATCATTTGGCATTAATATTGGCTCCAAGTCTCCAACCAGTGAACCAGAGAACTTGCTTGCCAAGTGGACAAAGAATTCTGCGATTCCGCTCCAACATCACGCCAAATTGATGCCCTTAAATTGTTAAACATGGTATTGAGCAGTTAGCACCTACAAATTACAATACAATAAAATTAAATTTGCCAAATTAGCAGTTAGCACTTAACACTTAACACATACAAATAGGCAATCATACGATTCATACCCTGTGAAAATTTTCATTTAAAAAATGTAAGCACTCACATAATATGTTGGCACTGTTCAATTATTTAATTATATCCCTCACCCTCAGTCTAATATTTGAGGAATATAATAATTAACACAAGGAAATTATGAAGGTAACTCAAATTGCAGTAATCTTGCTTTTAATTAAATTTTGTAATTTTAAATTTTAATCCACCCTATTTATTAATAAAATAATATTTTATGGCTTATTGGATACTTAATTAGTATATGGGTAATTGGCACAAAACGTCCCTACCTTTTAAGTCTATTGTGGAAAACGTCCATACCTTTCATTTTTTGGCATTTTTGCCCTCATTTCAACCTTTCTTTGCGCTGGACGTCCTTCCGTCCATATTCCGTCAGTTTTTCCGTTAAACATTCGGGTAATTGGCACAAAACGTCCCTACCTTTCATGTCTATTGTGGAAAACGTCCCTACCTTTCATTTTTTGGCATTTTTGCCCTGATTTCAACCTTTCTTTGCGCTGGACGTCCTTCCGTTCATATTCCTTCAGTTTTTCCGTTAATTAAATACAAAAATATCTTTTTCTTTCTATAAACAAGGGTAAAATTGTCCTCACCCACTTCACCCCTTTTTTCCGCCATCAATTTAGTCCATAAGTAACAGTAGCAGCAACATGAATCTGAAAATACTTTAAATGATTAAGTTAAATAAAGAAAAAATATCGTGAACACATTATATTTCACAATTCCACAACTACTGTTGCTGTCATCTTGTGTCACTGGAAAAATTTAGAAAGACATATTAAATAGGTAGTCAATTTATAATGAGTCAATTTAAAATGAGCCATTCATCTTCTCCATTGAGCCAAAAAGAGTCATTCACCATTTTGGCTCATTATAAATTGACTACCCATTTAATATGTCTTTCTAAAATTTTTCAGTGACACAAGATGACAACAATAGTAGTTGTGGAATTGTGAAGTATAATGTGTTCACGATATTTTTTCTTTATTTAACTTAATCATTTAAAGTATTTTCAGATTCACCCAAATCAATAATCATTCCTAATCAAAACATAAATTACTTATCATAAATTGCAAATGCAAATATAATTTCATAAACATAAATTCCCAAATCAATAATCATAACTCATAAAACGTAAATTACTTATCATAATTCATAAATCATAATTCGCAATTTTTTAATTCCCAAATGAAGAAATCACAACATATTTAACATCAACTGATCAACTTAAGTCACTGACCCGAGGAAGGAATCATTTGGCATTAATATTGGCTCCAAGTCTCCAACCAGTGAACCAGAGAACTTGCTTGCCAAGTGGACAAAGAATTCTGCGATTCCGCTCCAACATCACGCCAAATTGATGCCCTTAAATTGTTAAACATGGTATTGAGCAGTTAGCACCTACAAATTACAATACAATAAAATTAAATTTGCCAAATTAGCAGTTAGCACTTAACACTTAACACATACAAATAGGCAATCATACGATTCATACCCTGTGAAAATTTTCATTTAAAAAATGTAAGCACTCACATAATATGTTGGCACTGTTCAATTATTTAATTATATCCCTCACCCTCAGTCTAATATTTGAGGAATATAATAATTAACACAAGGAAATTATGAAGGTAACTCAAATTGCAGTAATCTTGCTTTTAATTAAATTTTGTAATTTTAAATTTTAATCCACCCTATTTATTAATAAAATAATATTTTATGGCTTATTGGATACTTAATTAGTATATCAACAAACAACACAACAATATATCTATCTTTACTCCAAAACTCAAAAAGATGAAAGATTTTCAGAATGAAATCAAAAGTCATGTTAGAAAAATAATTAGAAATCAGGGGCGAACTGGCGGCGCCCAAGGAAGAAGTGTCTCACACTGCAGCTTGTAGGTCAGGGGCGAAACTGACGATCTCCAGCACCTTCGTGTCTCATCACTCGTGTGCAGTGTCGTAGGGACGAGCGGCGAAGGAAGAATTGAAGAAATTGGAAAAGGGTTTTCTTCCAGCCTTCCACCATTCCACGATTTGGGAGAAATGAGAGTTATTTGGGCATTTGATTCAATTTTATTGGGTAATTAGACTTTGACAAATTGGGTTATTTTCATTTAGCAATTGAGCTAACAATAAGAGGCCCAACATTCGAACCCTGCCCAAACGAAAAAAAATAAATAAATACAATAAATAAAAAATTTGGCCCTCTTCTCTTCGTCTTTTTCCTTCCAAAGCGACAGTCGGACTCCGGTGCATCTGCAACTGGCGCTACCCAACGGATCTGAAGATTTCGATGGAGCTAGCACACGCAACCGTGCCCCCTTGTCGGGTGTTGGCTCCGTGCCTGAAATACACAAGCTTGTATCCATGGGGGGTAATTTTTAGAAAAGCTGTGAAAATACTTTAAATGATTAAGTTAAATAAAGAAAAAATATCGTGAACACATTATATTTCACAATTCCACAACTACTGTTGCTGTCATCTTGTGTCACTGGAAAAATTTAGAAAGACATATTAAATAGGTAGTCAATTTATAATGAGTCAATTTAAAATGAGCCATTCATCTTCTCCATTGAGCCAAAAAGAGTCATTCACCATTTTGGCTCATTATAAATTGACTACCCATTTAATATGTCTTTCTAAAATTTTTCAGTGACACAAGATGACAACAATAGTAGTTGTGGAATTGTGAAGTATAATGTGTTCACGATATTTTTTCTTTATTTAACTTAATCATTTAAAGTATTTTCAGATTCATGTTGCTGCTACTATTACTTATGGACTAAGTTGATGGTGGGAAAAAAGGGTGAAGTGGGTGAGGACAATTTTACCCTTGTTTATGGAAAGAAAAAGGTATTTTTGTATTTAATTAACGGAAAAACTGACGGAATATGGACGGAAGGACGTCCAACGCAAAGAAAGGTTGAAATGAGGGCAAAAATGCCAAAAAATGAAAGGTAGGGACGTTTTCCACAATAGACTTGAAAGGTAGGGACTTTTTGTGCCAATTACCCTTTAATTAACGGAAAAACTGACGGAATATGGACGGAAGGACGTCCAGCGCAAAGAAAGGTTGAAATGAGGGCAAAAATGCCAAAAAATGAAAGGTAGGGACGTTTTCCACAATAGACTTGAAAGGTAAGGACGTTTTTTGCCAATTACCCATTAGTATATCAACAAACAACACAACAATATATCTATCTTTACTCCAAAACTCAAAAAGATGAAAGATTTTCAGAATGAAATCAAAAGTCATGTTAGAAAAATAATTAGAAATCAGGGGCGAACTGGCGGCGCCCAAGGAAGAAGTGTCTCACACTGCAGCTTGTAGGTCAGGGGCGAAACTGACGATCTCCAGCACCTTCGTGTCTCATCACTCGTGTGCAGTGTCGTAGGGACGAGCGGCGAAGGAAGAATTGAAGAAATTGGAAAAGGGTTTTCTTCCAGCCTTCCACCATTCCACGATTTGGGAGAAATGAGAGTTATTTGGGCATTTGATTCAATTTTATTGGGTAATTAGACTTTGACAAATTGGGTTATTTTCATTTAGCAATTGAGCTAACAATAAGAGGCCCAACATTCGAACCCTGCCCAAACGAAAAAAAATAAATAAATACAATAAATAAAAAATTTGGCCCTCTTCTCTTCGTCTTTTTCCTTCCAAAGCGACAGTCGGACTCCGGTGCATCTGCAACTGGCGCTACCCAACGGATCTGAAGATTTCGATGGAGCTAGCACACGCAACCGTGCCCCCTTGTCGGGTGTTGGCTCCGTGCCTGAAATACACAAGCTTGTATCCATGGGGGGTAATTTTTAGAAAAGCTGGAAAATTGTTCCTATTTTCCACAATGGCCTCTTTTATCAAAAATACTATTTTGCCCTTACTATAGTTATTTGCAAGATGTATCTTATATCTTTAAGGATTTATCAATCAGGACATATATCTATATTTTTCAATTTTTCAAATACTTTTAAATATTCTTTGTATCTTGATAGTTCTTCAAAAATTATAAGTTGACCTTTCTTGGTTATATATCCTCGAACTAATCCTTCTGAAATTTCTTCTTGTATATTTCTATGTTTGGTTATGATATCTTTTACCTTTTTTATCTCTCTACTAGTTCCTACAGAATCAAATCTTATATTATTTCTACAATTATAATCTATATCTCTATATATTTTTTCAATTTTTTCTTTACCAACAGGAAATATATCTTTAGATTTTTCATCTAATTCATTAGTAGTGGAAGTGGATGCTTGTGAATTGTTCATCAGAATAATTAAAGCATAAGCATGTAAAAACAAGCAAATAACTTACAGTAATCAAATGAAGTAAACAGGCTTTCCCTCCATTATGCTCTTATAGATGCTTTGCATATACTTAATCAATCTTCTGAATCAAGTAAAGATTAAAATGTTTTTTGAAATCATTTGGGTCCATAACTGCTTCTGCAAAAGGCTTTTCAATTAAGGTTGTATTTCTCATTCTAGAGAACTAGCCGTGTTTCCACAGACGCTATCTCACAGTATCCAGAGTCTTTATTTTCACCTCTATCCAAACTCTTTTCAGAATCAAGTTCCTACTTGGAACGAAATTTTAAAAGATAACTCACACACAAGGTGCTACAATTTTGTTAGAAAACTACCTTTTCCCCTAAACCATTCATCAAAGACGGGTACTTTGGCATGGCTAACATCCATTCAAAATCAATGTTTTGAAAATATTTTAAAATCTCTATTTGTACTGCTGAAGAATCATGAGAAATTTAACGAAATCCTTTTATGAAAGTTTTGTTGAACATAACAAACTTTACTTTGATATTCATAAACTGAAATTGTACATGCTTACAAACTATATTTACATACCTTTGGTACTCACCTTATGAAGTTTAGAACTCCATAAGTGATTATCTTATTACATGCTTTACTATCTTCAAGTTATCTAATATTTTTCTGAATACAAGTGGTGTAAACAGATTACAAAAGATATATCTCTAAGATGTGTTTCCTTCCAGTGTTTAAGAGATAAGTTGTTTCGATCTTCCATCCTTCTTCCTCCTTGCCTCCTTTTATAGAAGCCTTTGAGAATCTTATCTTGACAGGAGTTTTTCACCTTTCTTTGTTGGGTAGCTAGGCCATCTTATCTCCACCGAATTCTTCCTTATCTTCTTGCTAGGTGGACCTCTCTATTTGAAATTATATGCCTTATCTTTTGAGTTTGTCTGCCACTTGTGATAATTGGTTGAGTAGTCACAATTATGGAAACTTTTCTTGTACTATCTTCTGTCTTTTAGTAGCCACAGTTTTTCTTTAATAAATTTCTTTATTAAAGTAGTGATAAAGGGCTACTTTTGTCATCATCACTTTTCCATTTTCGAATTAAAGAATTCTGCAGGGAATTCTTCATCATTAAGGGATGCTTGACTTATATCTTCAATTACACAGTATTCACAATGATGATCACTGTAGTTCCAAAGTAATTTGCATAATTCTTTAGTCATATCTTCTGATCCATGCACTTGGTTGGAAATAATTGCAGATAATAAATGGTTAAGATAACAAATATCTTCTTCTTTGGTAGCCATCCTTGCATTGGAATAGATAATATGATCTTCAGATGGATAAACCCATATCTTTTCCTTCTCAGTAATTATCTGAGTTACATGTTCAAATATCTCTTTGTACCCTTTTGCTCTTCTGTACGGCATCATATTTAGAATATCTTGATATCCGTTTTTAACAATTTTTTGGTTGGTTGGTAAAAAATGTTGATTTGTAAGTCCCATTTTTATCACATGGAACGATGGATGCATATATTCAAGAACGGGATCCCATTTCATGGTTGCTGAATGGAATCTGATATATATATATTTGTTGTCTTGACGACTTCAGTATATCTTTTAACAGCTTTCCTGATGTTGGCTGGAAGTTGAGCTATCTCTTTGAGATCTTTGCTAGGATATATACAAAGTATATTTCCTATCTCAAAACAATTTCGAACCCAGTTGGCTGGTGCTCCTGGATAAAAATTTATCTTGTTGTATTTTGAATAGTGGAGAGTCTTCATCCACTTTCCAATCTCCAGATACCAATTTGATAAAATATTAAAAATAACAATAAAGAGTGTTACTTCTTCATGGCTATCTTTTCTGAGAATTTTTGTTTCATGGCATATCTTGACAATATCTTTTGGATTTATCCTTTCAATAGAAAGTTTAGATTGAGTTTGGCTCTGTGAAGAGCTACCTTCTCTTTTGATATCTTGAATATCTTTATTACCAGTAATAGGTTCAATTTTTCCCTGTGAAGGGATTCCTATTACCTTCTTTTCTTTCCCTTTATCCTCGGGGAGAAGGGATACTAGACTTGGTACAAGTAACTTCTGCCTCAAGGGCTATATTTTTGCCTCGAAAGCTATCTTGGATATTTTGAATTTGTGTTTCCAAATAGGAAACTTTTATTTCAAGTATTTGGACTTTCGTCCTTAATTGTTCTAGCTCCATCCCTGCTAAGATAATCAGGAAGAAAGTTAATTTTACCTTTTATGTATTTAATATCGAATTTGAAATATGAGAACCAAATTTGTATTCTAATAATATATCTATTGGTAATAGATGGATTAACATTATTTTTCAAAAAGGCTTTAACTTGAGTATTATCAGTTCTAATCAAGAACTTTTTTGGTAACAAATAATCTTCATATTTTTTAACTCTTCTTTTAACGGCAATGAGTTCTTTTCTATTTGTCTCATATCTTGTTTCAACTTTTTTTAATGTTTCTGATGTATAACCTGCAAGTATCTCAGGACAAGAACAATCTTTTTCACATTTATATTCTTTATGATTCTTTCACCTTTAACACTGCTTCCCAGTAATAATATGAAGCATCAGTTTCAAAGATAAAGAAATCTTCTTCTTGTAGTATTACAAGTTTGGGCAATACCTTTAACTCTCCTTATATTTTCACAATCTTGTTCTTCCCAAGACCACATTATATTTTTTTTTAATTTTGGAAGAAAATAATTTTTCAATTTGGAACAATTTTCAATGAATCCTTCAGCATAA